TTATATTAATTACATGTTTTAGTGTTTAAAGGGAAGTTTTAAACCATGTGTGACAGACCTTAACAGCATAAAAAATCTAATACTTTTTAATCCACAGATTTCCTGTCACTGAAAAGGTGTATTTTGGTCACTTGTGGGGAGCACAACAAGCTATAAACTCACCACAGATATTATCGTGGGACAGAGAACGTGTTAGCACACTACCACCTGGTGAATGTAAGTCCACTATTCACTCTTTTTTAGCTCCTGAGGAAAATATCTGGCTTATCAGCTGCTAAATGCTCCACAATGTTCACCAGATAGTCGCTAACTGTGTCTGTCTGCTGTGTCGTGCTGAGCAGGTAGTGTACAGAAGTGGGGTCCGGGGATCACCAGGGGTCCTTGAGGGGGTGAATGATTTTATTTTCTCTTTATATCCATCAATAAGTAACACAATGACAATGACTATTTTGGTCATGGATTTCATACACTTTCTGTAATAAAACATCTAAAAGCCAAAACCCTATCAGATGGGGGTCCGTGGTCTACTTTGTATCAGTTTTGTGGTCCTTGACGTGAAAACGTTTTAGAACCACTGGTGTACTGTGGGTATTTAAAACTTTTTTTCTCTAAAAACAGATGCCTGCTTCGACTGAAAACAACACTTTGGGAGAGGTGAGCGTGAATCAAAACAGTCAAGTTGCGTCTGAAAAGTTAAACAATTAGCTGAAACTCACTATAAAGCCGAGGAGAGCTGCACAATCAGGTGATATTTCTCTGTAGATTGTAATATAAGATTGTAGATTGTTCATATAAAACAAATTATCAGTGCAGCTTTAATGAATGTATAATATATATCAAATGTGGAAAGGGTCGCTCATAATGAAGCAAACATCGTGAAGCACTAAAGAGCCAGAGAGCCAAAAACAGAGCTATAAGGACAACGAATACTGAACTAGCATTCACCTGGTTGCCAGAACAGGACAAAGAATGAATGCAAATCAGATAATGCTGCTTTAAATAACTGCCAACATTAAAAAGAAGTAATGAATCTAAGAAGAAGTCAGAGCTATAAAAAAAAAACTTAAATGTATTAAATCATTAATAGCAACATCAGTTGGTCATACAAAAGACCACAACATTAAATAGGAAGTAAAACAAGAAAATTCCCGGAGCACAGCAACAACATCCAGGTGCTGGTAGATAGCAGGATGAGGCTATGAAAAGTCAAAAAACAACAAACTACCGCACACTGATCTGACTTTTCTGCATTTATTGGGAGCAACGCGCTTCGCCCATACTGTGTGAGCCTGAGGAAGCTATGGATGAATTAAATAGGAAGTGTTCGCAGATATGCCAGTAAAGTTAGGCAACAACCTAAAAAATATAGAAATACTAAGCTTTGTTGAAAGAGTAATCTAGATTTTATTTTAATTACCCAGCTAAATATAAAAGCCACAATGGATAATCTAAGCAAATACAACTTCATTACAGTAACTTGGAGGAAAGTGAGCGTCTCCAAATTGGAAACCAAGAGGAGAGGTGATAAAATATTTTTGGCAGAAAATGATATCTACATTCACTATCAATGTTTGGAGTCCTGACAGCATTTATCAACAGTGACCAGAGCAAAACATCAAAGCAGTGACTTATATTTAACAGGTCACAAAGGCTACATGAAGGAAAATAAGGGTGCTGTTTCTTTATTTTGAATTATGTCCTCTGAAGAAATGTGCTGGCAGTGTCAATAACAATACAAGAGCAACTAAACTATCAAAACGCCTTCACTTTCTGAACTGGTTTAATAACATCCTGTCTTGATATTCAGTTACAAGATTTTGTGCTGACTACCACCAGAAATTGAAACGAGGGTGATTTTTATACAAACACTGAACCTCCTGGCTGCATCTTAATCATACATTTATTCATGGAAAACAGCTGTTATTGTAACTCGGCCACGTCGTGCACGTCCAAGCTCAACCTCGTCCACACGTCGAACATTTTGTTCTGGTACAGCTGATAGGATGGAAACCCCCGTCGTCCAGCTGATTTCTGCACAGAGCTGCAGCAGAAACAATGCTCTCGTTCACGTGCAGAGGATACGTGCAGAGGAGCAGCATGCAGCGCTTACGTGCACTGCAGCACGAGCCAACATGAACTGTCTCATTCCCGGTACGGTCTCATGATGCGTTCAGGGTGTGTGGCTCCTGGTTCATATTACTCAGTGTTTGTTTTAGCTTTATTTTACTGCACTTTGTAATTGTTCAAATATAGTTCTTCTTTGGCTGTCTGGTTTCATTTTGAGTCATTTTTTTTCTTTTTACAAATTCAACAAATGTCTAAACAAATGTTTTTTTGTTAAAAGACCCCCTTCTGACTTTCACAGCCTATTGTTGGTCTGGAGCCATTATTATTTTGTTTTATGGTTTTACATCTTGTCAGTAGTGTTACTCAGTGACTTCTGTCAAAAATGAACGTTTTTCTATTGTTGACATTGTTGTTTTTGAGCTTCACAAGCAGGCCGCTCTACAGATGGTTAGTCTATGGTCGGTCCACCACCACTATCACTTTGGTCCAGAGTGAAATGTCTCTGCAGCTATTGGAGGTCCGCCACAGGATCTGGTTCAGATATTCATGTTGCCCAGAGAATGATCCCTACTCACTTTGGTGATACCCTCACTTTTCATCTAGCACCACCACAATGTTCACATTTGTGGTTCTAAGTGAAATTTCAACAACAACTATTAGTCCGGACATTCATTCCCTCCGTCTGAATTATAACAACTTTTGTCTTTTGTTCCTGTCCAAAATGTAAGTTTGTCCAACAACTCATTTTCCCATCAGACTCAGCTGTACATTGCATTAAGTGCTAATGAGCAAATGTTAGCATGCAAAATGCTAAACTAAGATTATGAACGCGGTAAACATCAACATGTTACCACTGTCATCGTGAGCATTTTAGCATGCTAACTTTAGCATTTAGCTCAAGGCCAAGTACAGCCTCATCCAGCTGTTAGTATGACTGTAAGCAGATGTGACAATAATAAAAAAAAAGAATAATAATACAAAATTATGATAACACTAATATTACAATTATTAATTATTATTATTAATAATAATATATTATTGTAAAGATGATGCAACATAGCACACGTGACAACAGCCTGACCTTTCACTCAATTATCCAGTGGTGCCACAAAAACAAAGTGTAGAGTGTTTTACATGGTTGAACCAGGATTACAACATTTCAAGAAAGAGGCAAATAAAATCAGGCAATTCAAATAATATAGTAGTAAAAGAAAATGAAAAAACCTAAAGTTATGTTTTGAGAAGTACTGGTAACCAGTGAAGACAAGCTAAAACAGGTCTGATATGGTCTTGTCTGATGTCTTGTTGACAAATCAATACACACGATTAGGGCAGCAACAACAATCATATTATTACAAATGATCTGCTAAATACTTCTTCACTAATTGATTGTTTAGCCTCTAATATGGTGAAATAGTAGAACCCAACACAATTTCCTAAAGCCCGAAATAACGTCTTTAAATTGAAGAACAAAGTAAAGCAGCAAATCTTCACAATCTCAGAGCTGGAAATGGTAAATGTTTGGCATTTTTGGTTCAAAAATAACAATTAATTGATTATTTATATAGATTCAGAATATTTTAAAGAGGTTACAGGGAATTAGTAAGTCCCCAATTAATCTTACCAACGCAATGTACAAAACAGTACGGTCTAGATAACTTCTGTTGTGATTTGGCGCTCTATAAATTAAACTGAATTAAACCTGTAACTTTCTCTTCTCCAAGTGAAATATTTCTTTTAAATGCCTTCCTGATACGAAAGCCGTGGTTTACAAAAATGTGTGTTTGGCATTACATCTGTGCCTCATCAGTAGTACACCACGTGCAGTGTGTCTGGGTGTGTGCGGGTAACTGTCAGGAATTAGTGTGTAAAAAGGCCTGAGGGTTGAACTTTCCCCTACTTCCCACACTGACACCACTATCTTTGAATGTTCTCCAGCATTCCTCATTCATGCTGAAGACACTCGAAGAAAAATACTTTTTGGTCTTTTTTCCCCCAATCAATCTGCATTCACACAAAAAAACTAAAAATCTGAAACTACAAAAACTACACAGAAATCTTGGTTTTGGTTGAGTTTTTTTGTATGAACTGCCCAAATATGTAGAAATACGGAAAACACTGACTATATTAAAACACTATATAGCTACAGTGTGGTGGGGGATGTAAAGGGAGGATTTTTAGGGCTGAAAAATAGACGCTAAAGTTGGATGTATACTGCGTTAGAGGTTGTATTACTGTAAACAGAATATGAATCCTGTGAGATGCAGTTGAAAGGATCTTTGAGCTTGTTAGTTATTCTGTTACATTTAATTACATCTACAACTATGATAATCTATTAAATGTTTAAATCGTTTTTCAGGCAAAAATCCCCAAAATTTACTGGTTGCAGGCTCTCATGTGAAAATTCACAGATTTTCTTGGTCTGGCATTATAGTAAATAAAATGTTTTTGGTTTTGGACTATTGGTTCGGACATGAAAAGGCATTTAAGGATGTCAGCTTGGGCTCTAGGATATTGTGGTGGGCATTTTTCTGACGGACCAAATGACAAATCAGTGAAATGAGAAAATAATAAGCAGATTCATTGCTAATGAAAATAATACAATATGTGAGTATTCGATTAGCAACTACAAGGAGCACAGCTGAAAAAAGACTAATAACATGTAAGATATGTTTACTAAAAATGTATCTTTGCCTTATTTCACCAACAAAGAAACTGACATGTAAAAGTGTTTTGGTAGAAACTGAATCAATTTCACGCCCTGTACCAGTAATTCAGACCTTTTATTGCATCATGGTCCAAGTCCTTAGAAGGGTATCCACTACGACTGACTTTCCACGCCTCCATCCACCCTGCCATCTCCACCTCCAAGCTCCAAACAGCCAATCAGAGGAGCCCTCTGCTGCAGCACTCTGCTATAAAAACGCCTCTGCCATTCAGCAGCACACAACAAAGACAGAGAGACAACAGAACCAGCTTTCATATTGAAGCAGACACAAAAATGAAGATGCCACAGCTTCTCATCTTCCTGTTGACCCTTTTGGTGCACATAGCTGCTGGCTTCCCCACAGACAGAAGAGCTCGGCAGAGCCGGGAGAAACACGCCTCCTGGGATGAAGTGAACGTGGTGGCTCACGGCCTCCTGCAGCTGGGCCAGGGTCTGAAGGAGCACGTGGACAAGACCAAAGCCCAGATGAGAGACGTCAACGCGAAACTCAAAGCCTTCAACGGCACAGTGGCCGAACTGGAGAGGAAGCAGCAGGAGCAAGATGAAGCTCTGAGGGCAAAGAGCGAAAAGGTGGAGGAGAGGGAGAGAATGGTGGTAGAGCAGGCTGAGGAGGTGAAGGTGAAGGTGGAGGCGGTGGAGAAGCAGAGCGAGGACATCCACTCCAGAATGGACAGACTGGAGGAGAAGGTGGATGCGGTGCTAACAGAGCCGACACTGGACAACAACAGTGAACACACAGGAGTCCCATTTATCCAGGTAAGAGAAAAATACTGCTTTCATGTTACTTCAGCTCACTGGAAAAACATTAGTCCCTGTGTGGGGTTTCTTCAAGTCCAAGTCCAAGTCCAATGTAACAAAGCCGTGTCTTTCTGCTGTTACCAGAGGCTGGTGGCAGCTCAGAACCGACGTATTGACCAGCTGGTGGAGAAAATCAAGCAACAGCAAGACAAACTAGAAAAGCAGAGTCTGCACCTGCAAGTACTGCAGAGCAAGGTGAGTTACACCACGTTCAAACAAACACTACACCTCGTTTGATTTAGCCGGTGAGAGGGAACAGACCTGTGAGCTTTGAGCTACAGGATGACAAGACTGATGTTCTGCTTGGATACAAATTTCAGTTTCTTAACCCTGTGACTCTGTGACCCACCAGGTTGCACATAAGAGAGTAAAATCACACAGACGGAGAGACGAAGAGATGGCACTGAGGGGAGAGGCAGAGGAGAGCAAAAGCACATCAGGTAAGAAAAACAAACTGTTTAAAAGTGATGGAGACAAGTCGCTATGTGGGCAAGGAAAAAATGTAAATGGAGTGATAATGTTGAAGGCTTTCACCAGTAATCGTAGTGAGTCTTAGCTGTCTTAGAAAAATTAACAGTGTATAAATAAAAAATCTACACAGCTTATACCATCACAAATGCATACACATATTTTGAGGTAAAACACAAATGCCTGAGAAAATACACGTCTACAGAGCATAGTTGTAAAACCTGAGCAAATGTCATTCAGCAAGAGGAGGAATTTACAGCTCTTAGAGTGCACAGATGCTTGAGCTATTGATCATCCTGAAGTGACATAAGAGCAAAAAAAATAACCTTTGCACCGGAGTTTATTATACTTGACTAGCTGGCAGAGCAGCTCACATTACAGTCCAAAGATCAGGACAGCAGCTTTTCAAACACACCTACTGTATTGTGTGTTTGTTTACATGCTCTGGTCTCAAGCAAGTTATAAAAAGTGTGACGTCAAACCAAAGACTAATCAACAGCTGGCTTCTGACAACTTCTTCAGTCTGAACAGTAAACTATATGATCTGTCTGTTGAATCATCTGACAAGAGGTTTTTCTGTGTTTTCTCAGGTTTGGCCAGAGACTGTCATAATCTGTTCATACAAGGGCAGCGAGCCAGCGGCATCTACACAATCCAACCAGAGGGCTCCCAGCCCTTCAACGTCCTCTGTGAAATGACTTCAGGTGAGTCAGACAGGTTTCAGACAAGTTTCCGTAAGGTCTACTGGTTTGATTATGAAATAACACAAGCTGAGCAAGGCAAGTTTCTATCCAAAACCAGACCAGCTTAAATCGCAGAGACAGCCCTGGTGTTGGGTATCATAGGTCCCTACTAAGAAAATATATTTTAGTTCAAAAGCTTGCACATATCAGCATTGCACGATGCCACAGGAAATGTAAACAGCTCTCACATTTTGGTGGATAAAGAGTAAAGTTCTCCAATACAGCGCCAATCCAATAAGCCTCTTAAGCTCAACCTTTTCTCTCTCTGCTCTCTTTGTGCAGAAGGTGGATGGACGGTCATCCAGAAACGTCACGATGGTTCCCAGAACTTCAATCAGCTGTGGGAAAGCTATAAGGAAGGCTTCGGCAGCCTGAATGGTGAGTTAACAAACTAAAACTTCATTGAACACCTGCATCACAAGAAAACCTCAGCGGTGAATATTAACCTGAACATTTCTCATCCTTTTCAGGTGAGTTTTGGTTGGGCTTGGAGAACATCCACACTCTCGCCAAACAAGGCCAGTACATCCTGCAGGTTGAGCTCTCTGATTGGGCGGGACACCAGCCTGTGGCTCGTTATGGATTCCAGCTTGAAGGAGAAGAGAAGTTGTTCACACTCCACCTGCAGCACGGGCCTTCATCTGGCGCTCAGGAGAAAATAATGATGACTGGTGGTCCTGGGCTTCCTTTTTCCACAGCCGACAGAGACAACGACCTCGCTGCAGACGTCAACTGTGCTGAACTGCTCTCAGGTATGACCCCTTCACTTCCCCCCCAAGACCTTACCACATGAAAACTAAACTGTCTGAATGGCTTGTTACCAGAAAACATGACAATAAAACTAAAAGTGAGTGGCAGTCGTTTATAGAAATCCTCTTTTGTTGCAGGTGGTTGGTGGTTCAGTAGTTGTGGTGAGTCAAACCTCAACGGCAGATACCCCAGAAGGCCGAGTCTGCTCCGGCGACAGCAGCGAGGGATGTTTTGGACTTCCACAAACGGACAAAACACCTCAGTGAGGACCACTCTTCTGAAGATCGCACCCGTCACAATAAAGCTATAAGCAGATCAGTCTCCAAAAGGACAAACAGCAGAGGAAACTACAAAGCAAAACTGAAGGCATCACATTGCTAATTCCAACACGCACATTATTGATCTCTCCTGATCACTCACTGGATCCTGATATTTCTATGCTATGCCATACGATCATCTCAGTCATATTGACTGTTGTAAATGTATTCCCTTTATAAGGGTTTTACTGCTTAATCTTATTTCGCAATACTTGCTGTGTTTTCTAAATAATTCTACTTTCATAATTGTATTATGTATGTTATTTTCAACATGTACACACTTTAAACTTTTTATATTTCATTTATATGAAATGGATGAAAATAAAGTTGTTAAAAAGGTTTAATAAAACCTGACTCTTTGGTCATGCTTGACAGTGTGACGGTGTACAAACACAACCACCACCCAGCCTTACATCAGCTCCTGATCGTCCAATGAAAAATTATAAAGAAACAACGATCATTTTACCAGATCTACAGGTCTTAAAATTACAGTTTTATACAGAGCACCTTACATTGAGTAAAGCCTGTAAGGGTTCTGTTAAGGAGGCACAGTAAATGAGCTTTTAGACACCTTTGTTTTAATCAAAATGAGTTCAAAACAAACCACAAACTTTGATTCAATACATGATTATAGAATGACTTGTGTTGGAAAACCGAGGTTTTAAACATTCTATTTAATCAATTTCTTGCTTCTTTCAAAGTAATTTCTCTTACGGGAGAAAATGTTTTTGTTACAACATGCTGCAATCAAATTTATTTCCATAATTAATATTAATATCTTGACTATCTCACATCCTGAATGACCTGAATTAACAAATGTGAGTTTGTTGCCCCTGTACTGACAGACAGCATGTTTATGTGGGTATATGGTGGCCATGGGTCATTTTATAATCAAACTGATTTTCAATTAATGGCTTTTGGCGGCTTCACATTTTTTACACATCTACACATTATATACTGTAATTTAGTTAAAACTTTTCATGTATTTCAAAGAGGATTTGTTTGGCACTGCTGCTCCCTGCTAGTCTTTGTGTGTCAGGGTCAGAGAGATGAAAAACAACTGAAGCTCTCGCACATTGTACATACACGTGAAACGGTTCTGTTGTGTCTGTGTTTACCGCTGTTCCAGGTTTGATTACATTACAGGAAATATATGAAGAGGATAAAACTCTTCCAGCTTACATTTCTGACTCTCCCCTCAGAAAAAGTCTTTGTTATTGTTATTGTCAGAAAAGTAACCGCTGAAGAGGCAGTTCATGTTTTTATTGTTTGAATTGGGGGTCTGAGGATAGACAGTCTCATGTACAGCTTTGAAGGCTCTTTGAGGTAAATGTATGATTTTGGGTTAGTAAAATTGACTTGACTTTAGTTATGTCTATGTTGATCGGACTTGTCCTCATAAGCCCTGAGGCTTATTCATTGAGGTTCATTAAGTTGGTTTATGTTCTGAGGTTAATCGCTTTAATTGTGCTTCCTCACCTTTCCCCTAAACTCAAACATCCCAAAAGACCCACGACTATTTATCAATTGCCTGAACCTTTAGAAGACACATTTTCTGTGTTCTTTTGCAAGACAACTACATCTGAAATGCTTTTAAAAACAATACATTTCATTTGGTGACAAGACTTTGTAAAACATTGTTCACTTCTGTTTATTTCTTCAATATCTGAGAGTACATTTAAGCATGTACAGGTCATGATAGCTCATCTTACAGATGGTCATCAGACACACATGTAACAAGGCATTTCATTATCGTAGGTCCTCAGAAAGATTCCCTGATATATACTATACGAGCAGGCGCTCTTAAACTCTTGCAAGGCACCTCAGACCGCCAACAGTTGTGCCATACATAATCTTATGGCCCAGTTTGTTGGCACCAAGGCAAATTTTAATTTGTGCAAAAGTCCTCAGCAGCAGAAGCAAAAGAAGCTCCCCAGAAAATGAAAGCAAACAAGTGCGCTACATATTTCCATTTATGAATACATAAAATATGTTTAATAACACACTATAAAAATGTGGCATGCAACTTTTTTCTTGTAGATCTGCCAAGTGTGGCATGCCACATGAAAAGTAATGTATGATATAACATGAGCGCACCGGCTCAAAGCAAAAAAGCAAACACTACAGAGTTTACAACAAAGGGGATTAAGAGCTTTTTTGTATGCTCCTATAGAACTTTACATTTTTACTAATTTTACTCCAGTGTTTATTCACAGACACAGGAAAATAATAATTGTATCAGTTGGATCCCAGAAAAACAAAGTGAGTTCAATAAAAAAAGGAATGGCACAAAAAACAAAACAGGAAAGAAATCGCTTCCAAAGCGGCAGGTCCACTTCTGTACTTTTTGCATTGCTGACATGTTCTGTTGAAGGTGCAACGGGTAGCATTTTTAACATCAATGTCACATTGTGTTTTTTTTATTTTATTTTAAATTGTGTCACCTCTGCCATTACCACAATCTCAGAAAGCTTCACCCCTGTTTGTTCTGGACAAATGGCGCCCTCTGCTTGTTTTGAGGCTTAAAGCAGTCCAGCAGATTTCTCTCCACTGTCAAACACAGAGTAAAGGCAACAAGACTTTGTTCACTGATGGTCTCAATTGTGGTGATCATACTAAAATCTGAATATTAATTTTGAAATAATCTGTTGATGCTAAAATGCTTCCGCACCTTTAAGACGGGCACACAACTCTTGAGGTGTGATGAGGTTTGGCATAGCTTGAATTTAACATAAAATCGAGCGAAAGTGATGCATGTTTAAATAAGTGGAGGAATGGGAGTGAGGAGACAAGGAGAGGCTAGAAAGGCTTATCAGAGGTTCTGCTGGAGGAAGTGCAGCAGCGTAATCTCATAATGTTCCCCAGACTCTGGACATCGGATGCTGTGTCGCTCATTGGGATAAACCTGGAAAAACAGAAATTCCAATCTGTTAAATGTTTTATTTGATCAAACAATATGATGCATGATGTTAGAGGTTAATGAAAAGATATTTTTCACAGACAATTATCATTCAGTTTGTAGACTATAACAATCTCCAGGTTTATATATTTACTTCTTGATTAGCTGGAATACAATGTCTAATATTTTCCAAAGCAATCTTGAACTTAAATACTGACAAACTGCAGAAGTTAGCTCTTAAAGTTTGAAACTTCCTCCCTGATGCCGTCTTGCTTCAGAAACAAGGCCCAAAAAACAGGTTGTCTTCTTGACTCTTCATTTTTAAATATGTTCATCAGACTTTAGTTTATGAATAAATAACCCACACAGACTCTGTTCTCACATCTTTATCAGTCTTGATCACTGAAGTGCGTTTATATGAATAAATCCTCCTACCTGCAGGCTGTATGGCTTCCCTGCCCGGATAAGTTGAGACACCAGGAAGTTAGTGTGGAAAAAGTGCACGTTCTCATCTAGAAATCCATGCAGGATCAGCAATCTGTTGGGCCTGCATTTCACAGAAAGACAGAGTTCTTAGTTTCTCTAGTCATGTTCACATTTAAACATGCAGGAGTAAACATAACTACAGCTAAGAGAGAAGGAGCAGAATCAAATAGTTCACTTTTCCCTCTACATACATCAACCTAGATAAAAGGTAGATAACAAGGCATAGTAAAGTAAGAATATATGCACAGAGAGAAAAGAATGGTAGACTTTAAGCTTAAATACTAATAGAGTGGATTTTAAAATGAGAGCTCTCACTCATTGGGGAGTTTGTCAACATGCAGTGCGACAGAACAAGCCTCGTATCCCTTCTGGTTTTTCTCCGGTGTGTCCAAATATCGCTCTGTGTAGCCGGTGTCATAAGCCATCCACAATGTTACTGGAGCTCCTGCAATGGCAACCTGAAAAAAACAAAAAACAAAAAACAAAAAACAAAACAGGAAGTCAAACAGAAGCATTTTTTTATTTCTTCTGCTAAAACGTTTATTTGAAAAAACAGCTAAAATTACAGACTGAATTTAGAGCCTGATGTATTACCAGATTTAGGAAGCCATTTGAGACAGTAAATAAGAGTTACACAAAATTAAATGTAGTGGATACTAACACCAATTTACAATTTCTGATAAAGTTTAAATGATAACTAAAGTAACTATGACATCGCTCCAGTTTAAGCCCGTAACAGAGTAAACGTTGGTGGTTTTGACCTTGAAGATGTCAGGTTGGTGGATGAGGCCCATGAGGGAGAGGAAGCCTCCATACGACCAGCCATGGATGGCAACACGACTCATGTCCACAAATTTGTACTTGTCAGCGACGTAGTGCAAACCCTCCACCTGGTCTTCAATCTCCACCTGACCCTGATTGGGGGACAGCAGAGAGGTAACTCACCTGGCATCATCAACATCCCATCTCTACCAATTCGCATACAATCCAAGTTCAGCCATAAAAATTCTACAAGTTACATCAGTAAATTTATTAACTTCTTCTATAAAGACATTTAAGAGTAAAATGTGTCAGCAAAATCATCCCTCTACACAAGACTGTTTGTCTCTTTTATTCCCAGTCCCTGAAGCTGACAGATGGTTTATGAGATAACTACCATTTTGTCCTTCACAGCTCCTTCAAACTTGAGTCCCCGCTGACAGGAGCCCCGGCCATCGATGACCAGCACAGCGTAGCCCAGAGACGCCAGCGTGCTCAGCCGCAGGTACTTTACTCCTTTATAAGAATTATTCACTAACTGGACCTGAAAAGTAAAGATAACACCTTTACAGAAACGTAATGCGGTAAAAAAGCTTTAACTATTTATGTTTGACATTATCACAGTCACAAGTTTGATCCATGTTGCAGTTATAAGACCTGATGAAGTGTCACAAGCAGAACCTTTTTACTGCTTTTTGTTCTTGATGATCAGCTAAATGCTTAAAAATCTGTATCATGCTTTAAATCTAAGCTAATGTACTACAATGGGTGTAAAGCAGAATTTATTATTTTGTATAAAACAGAGACAAAACAAAGCCATATGAGTAATAAATATGTTCAATCAAAAAAGTAATTACTTGTTTGCCCTCCAGGTAAGATAGTTAAAAAACAAGTGATTTTAAACGGGCGGGGGTCCAGGTGGAGAGCGCACGGGAAAAAAATTCACCTTTAACTTTAATTACAGCGACTAAATGCTCTTCTTCTACAATCGGTCTAATTTAATTAGGCTTATTTAAATGCGTTCATTATGTTGTTGTTTGTTTCCAGCCTACAGTTTACTGATTAATTTTAAAATGTAGAAAATTTGACTGTTTTGATCTGTGATGAAATTAAGCAATTGTAAAATGAATAAACGCCATAACTTCCACACTACTGCTGTCACTCAGTTTAAAGTGCTCCCACACAGCTGAGGGCT